AACTAAAGTAGCAACTGTCAGCTAACTTGAAGTCAAAGGGTTAATTCAGGGATTTTTAATATAAAAGAAATTTGGCCAGGCGTGGTGTCTCATGCCTGTAATCTCAGCACTTTGGGAGGCCGAGGCAGACAGATTGCTTGAGCTCAAGAGTTCCAGACCAGCCTGGGCAACATGGCAAAACTCTGTCTCTCTTAAAAAAACAATAAATAAATAAATAAGACATTTGATTACATTTAAGTGAATATGACAAAAAGTGGAAAGGAGAGGGAATAACTGATTAAACATACTTTATTAATACTTTAAAATAATATTAAATGCATTTAAATAACTATATACAACATATTTTAATTTAAAAATAAATTAAATTTTAAGCTGGGCACAGTGGCTCATGTCTGTAATCCCAGCACTTTTGGAGGCCAAGGTGGGTGGATCATGAGGTCAGGAGTTCAAGACCAGTCTGTCCAATATGGTGAAACCCCATCTATACTAAAAAAAATACAAAAATTAGCCAGGTGTAGTAATGCATGCCTGTAGTCCCAGCTACTCGGGAGGCTGAGGCAGGAGAAGCGCTTGAAGCTGGGAGATGGAGGTTGCAGTGAGCTGAGATCACACCACTGCACTCCAGCCTAGGTAACAAAGCAAGACTCCGTATCAAAATAAAACTTTTTAAAAATAAAAAAAATAAAGTTTAAAGTACAATGTAATTAATATAAACAAATTTAATAAGATTAAATGCATTTTATTAAGGCTAAAAAGCCAAAGAATTGCTCTGAGGGTAAGATCATGTCTGTTTCACTCACTGCTCTATCCCCAGTACCTAGAGCAAGGCCTGGGACATGGCAGATGTCTGGCAACTATTTGCCTGGGTGAATGTATGAATGGGTAAAAGTCACCATTCACTGGGCACTCACCTGTGCCAACACCATGAAGATGAGTTTCATGCATATTATCCTTGATTTTCACAATAACCTTAGGCGGTGAACGATTATTTTCATTTACTAATAAGGAAAGAGAACCTTAGAGAGATTTAGAAACTTGCTCATGATCACACAGCTATTGAGTGGCAGACATGGAATTTATTCTAGGTCAATCTAAACCAAAGCTGTGCTTTTAAGAACAACTATGATTTTAAGTGTCCAGCTTTTTTTTTATTTTCCTGAGACAGGATCTTGCTCTGTCACCCAGGGTGGAGTGCCATGGCTCATTCACAGCTCACTGCAGCTTCGACCTCCTGGGCTTAAGTAATCCTCCCACTTCAGCTTCTCCGGTAGCTGGGACTACAGGTCCATGCCACTGCACCCAGTTAGCTTTTTAAATTTTTTGTAGAGACAAGGTCTCACTATGTTTCCCAGGCTGGCCTCAAACTCCTGAGCTCAAGTGATTCTCCCACTTGGGCTTTCCAAAGGGCTAGGAGTACAGACAAGAGCCACCACACCTGGCCCTAGCTTTCAAGTAGTTAAATATTTGAAGCAAAAACAGAAAATATTTGAGAAAGGAAAAGCAAAACTTTTGGTTCCTTATATCACCAGAATACACAGAAGAGAGGAACTAATTAATTATAGAAAGAATAGCATAGCAGTTAAGCATGTAGCCTGTGAAGCCACATGCCTGGGTTCAAATCCTAGCTCTAATGCTCACTAGCTGTGCAGCTTCATCGAGTTATTGAACCTTTCTGTGCACTAGTTCCCTCACATATAAAATGGAGATAATGATAGTACCTACTTCATGGGATTGTTAGGACTAAATGAGTTTATTTATATAAAGCACATGAAACAGAAACCATTTTGTGTTTGCTCTGATTGTTATAGCCTATTTTTCCCTGTTGGAGAAAGAGGATTTTGTCTGTTTTTGTCCCAGCCATATCTCCAGTTCTTATAACACAGCCTGCCACAATGTGGCTTCCCCACAAAAGTTGTTTTTTTTTTTTTTTTTTTTTTTTTGAGACAGAGTTTCGCTCTTGTTACCCAGGCTGGAGTGCAATGGCGCCATCTCGGCTCACCGCAACCTCTGCCTCCTGGGTTCAGGCAATTCTCCTGCCTCAGCCTCCTGAGTAGCTGGGATTACAGGCACGCGCCACCATGCCCAGCTAATTTTTTGTATTTTTAGTAGAGACGGGGGTTTCACCATGTTGACCAGGATGATCTCGATCTCTTGACTTCGTGATCCACCCCACCTCGGCCTCCCAAAGTGCATAAAAGTTTATTGTTTTTTTTTTAATGAGATAATTGGTAAAATGAATGTCCAGCATATGTGTGTGTAGTGCTGCTCAGAAGAGTCATTGAATCTGAAGATAAAAACATTAATTTTGCTCACAAATCATGTTAAATGATACTTTTTAAAAAAATGTGGTCAGCCACTATAAACTAAAAATCTCTTTTTTTTTTTTTTTTTTTTTGAGACAGAGTCTCACTCTGTCACCCAAGCTGGAGTGCAGTGGAGCGATCTTGGTACACTGCAACCCCGGCTTTCCGGGTTCAAGCAATCCTCATGCCTCAGCCGCCCAAGAAGCTGGAATTACAGGCGCGTGCCACCATGCCTGGCTAATTTTCATATTTTTAGTAGAGACAGGGTTTCACTATGTTGGCCAAGCTGGTCTCAAACTCCTGGCCTCAAGTGATTCTCACATCAAGGCCTCTCAAAGTGCTTGGAATTACAGTGTGAGCCACCTCACTGGGCACTGAAAATACCTTTAAACATTTGGTTAACAGGTAAGGCTTAAATTTTATGTATATCATTGTCCAAATAATATTGACCTTAGGTTAGAAGAAAACGACTCAAAAATAAAAACTGTTAAGTATTAAGATTATAGGATTGCAGTGATTTTACCCTTTTTTTTTGTTTTCTTTATGTATTATTACACCATCATTGTTTCCATCATTTTTTCTCCTCTGATATTAAACTGAGAACAGCTTCATCTACTCTTGAGAAAGGAAAATAAAAGGAAATAATCTAACAGTTGAACTGCACAAAATAGTTTAACCCTGCTCTTTTAACAGCTATAAATTTTTCATAGAATAGCTCCAGCCACTCCTTGACTTGTGAAAAAATCATTTAGGAAGCTTCAGCATTATAAGCAATGCATAACACTTAGAGAAGATGGATCAAAGAAATGTGCCTATGAGTCATCCTTAAAATACTGGTATTTTCTTCAATAAGCTTGTACTGGGGAAAATTGTGATTCCACACAAGACTTGGAGACCTGTTATCACTTTGTACATTGAGTAACCCTTGGAGACAAGGCAATCTACTGGCTAGGCAGCCTGGAAACAGCTTCTGGACCAATCAACCCGCCTGGAAACAGCTCTTGGACCAGTCACCTAGAAACAGTACCTGGACCAATCAGCTCTTTTCTGAGAACTATTTTTTTCTAAAATCTGCCCTGCTGCCTTGCAAACCAAAACCAGAGACATAAAAATGTACCTGAATTATTTCATTATCAACCTCACATGTCCTAGCCCATTTTGGTGTATTTGACAAGTACCTCGAACTCTGTGTTCTTCAGTGGAATTAATTCTGAACCCAATAGTTTTTTAGCCACATCATATCCTTTGTGGAATGAGGTAAGGAATGTCAACATAAATAACAAACAGAGAGAGACTCTCTAAAAGAAAATTATGTTTATGTGGGAATAGAGCATTGCAATGGGAATATGCATGTGATAGTAAACCGTGTGTATTCAAGGAAATAAAGGAAGACAAAGGATTTTAAAGGGAAAAAAACGTGAGGAGGTTACATAATTGTTTTGAAATAATTATCCTTGGCTACAAAGATCAATAACAAGAGTGATGCCAGTCTGGGTTAGACAGGCAGTTACTGGGTAGATGTCCTTGCAAAAATATATTTTGTGTAATATTATGATGGCCTTTGTGCAATGTTGTATTATTTGCAGAATCTTTTATGATAGTTTTTATCAGGCATACCTGCATGAGAACCCTCTCTTCATGGCCCTCCCTGGCTCTGTTTGTCAAGGTTGTTTTCTTTTATTTTGTTTTAACATGAATGACTCAATTTTGATTCTGATAACCTCCACAGAAATAAATATATTTCAAAATATACCGTCTTGTACATTATAGTTCCTTTAATGGTTTTTCATTTGAAGATATTCTACTTTTTTTCTTTTTCTTTTTTTTTTTTTTAAAGACAAGGTTTCACCATGTTGGTCAGGCTGATCTTGAACTCCCAACCTCAGGTTATCTGCCCACCTTAGCCTCCAAAGTGCTTAAATTACATGCGTGAGCCACCGCACCTGGCCTATTCTACCTTCTTCTTTCTACCTTCACCCTGGTTCTCAGCCATGGTTGCACATTAGAATACCTGGAACTTTTTGGAAAGTCCTGTTGCCCAGCCTTCACTCCAGACCAATTAAATCAGAATTTCTGTAATCAGTATTTGTTAAAGTTCCACAGATGGGCCAGGCACAATGGCTCATGCTTGTAACCCCAACACTTTGGGAAGTCAAGGCAGGAGGATCACTTGAGCCCAAGAGCTTGAGGTTATAGTGAGCTATGAACATGCCACCACACTCCAGCCCAGATGACAGAGCAAAACTCTGTCTCCAAAAAGAAAAAAAAAGTTACACAGATGATTCTCATGTGTATTTTAAATTGCTTGGCTGGGCATGGTGGTTTACACCTATAATCTCAGCCCTTTGGAAGATTCAGGCAGGAGGATCACTTGAAGTCAGGAGTTGGAGACCAGTTTGGGCAACATAATGAGACCCACCACTTAACAAAATCTTAGCAAGATCAAAATCTCCCCAAAGGCAAAGCTGTTTCTTGCATTTTGCTTTATCTCATCCCATGGTGCCTAATATTTTTTCTGCCTAGATTAGGTGATCAAGTGATAGAAAATACGAAGAGAGTCACAAAAAAGGTACATAGGATTTGGGATAAGGTCAGGATTGTCATCCTCTGAGCTCGATAAGGGAATGTGAAGTTGTGGTAGGAGCTTGTTCCTGAGTACTCAGATCATCATTTTTTGCTTGTTTGGTTTTTTTTAAGGCCTTTCTCCATTGTGGACTTTTTGATGCTAAAAGACATTGGTGACACCTTCAGGTAAAGGCTTTCAACATTCATTGTATTCATAAGGCCTTTTCCAGTGTGGCAGATCTGCTTGAGGCCCAACTCTATCATCACCTAACTCTCTGACCCAAAGTAAGTTAATTATAAAACGGAGAAGTAAAAATATCTTTTGAGACTGCATCATAGGGATTACCTTAGAAAATGTGGATAAAGCACTTAGCTTGGCTCTTGGTACATGCTTCATAAATTAGCAAATTAAGAATCAACACAAAATGGTTGAGATGACTCACTTGCAAATGTTGTCCTTCCTGAGAGATCATTTGTAACAGGTAGTAGGGGGCCTTAGAAAGTAACCTGCAGGCCAGGCACAGTGGTTCACGCCTGTAATCCCAGCACTTTCAGAGGCTGAGATGGGTGAATCACTTGAGGTAAGGGGTTCGAGACCAGGCTAGCCAACATGGTGAAACCATGTCTCTACTAAAAAAAATACAAAAATTAGCTGGGCATAGTGGCACATGCCTGCAGCCCCAGCTACTCAGGAGGCTGAGGCATGAGAACCACTTGAACCTGGGAGGTGGAGGTGGAAGGGAGCCAAGATCATGCCATTGTACTCCAGCCTGGGTGAAAGAGCAAGACTTGGAGAAAGGAAAGAAAGAAAGAAAGAGGAGAGAGGAGAGAGAAGAGCTGCAGTGACAGTGTTAAAATGTGTATCCTCAGGAAGGAAGGAAGGAAGGAAGGAAGCTGCAGTGACAGTGTTAAAAGTGTGTATCAAAAGAAAGAAAGAGAGAGAAGGAAGGAAGGAAGGAAGGAAGCTAACTGCAGTGATGGTGTTAGTGTTAGAAGTGTGTATCATGGCCGGGCGCGGTGGCTCGCGCCTGTAATCCCAGCACTTTGGGAGGCCGAGGCGGGTGGATCACGAGGTCAAGAGATCGAGACCATCCTGGTCAACATGGTGAAACCCCGTCTCTACTAAAAATACAAAAAAAAAAAAATTAGCTGGGCATGGTGGCGCGTGCCTGTAATCCCAGCTACTCAGGAAGCTGAGGCAGGAGAATTGCCTGAACCCAGAAGGCGGAGGTTGCCGTGAGCCGAGATCGCGCCATTGCACTCCAGCCTGGGTAACAAGAGCGAAACTCTGTCTCAAAAAAAAAAAAAAATAATAATAAGTGTGTATCCTTAGGCCTGTTATTTAATTACAGTTGTCCCTTCTTATCCGTGGGTTCTGCATCTTCAGATTCAACCAACTGAGGCTTGAATACATTTGGAGGAAAAAAATAACAATAAAAGTAATACAAATTTTAAAATATAGTATAACAAGTATTTATATAACATTGACATTATATTAGGTATTACAGGTAATCTAGAGATGACATAAAGTATACAAGATGATGTGCATAGGTTCTATGCAAATACTACCCTTTTTTATTTTTATCTTTTTTGAGACAGGGTCTCACTATTGTTGCCCAGGCTGTCCTCCTGCCTCAGCCTTCTGAGTAAGTGGGATTACAAGTATGCACCACCACACCCAGCTACTATGCCATTTTATATAAGGGACTTGGACATCCATGGATTTTGGTATCCAAGGGGGAGGGTCCTAGAATCAATCACTAACAGATACTGAAGAGCAACTGTAAAGAGAATGTAATCTAATCACTTCTCCAGCAACGTGAACATTCCAAATAACATTATAGTAATGGAAGTGTCATTGACTGCACAGACCAGAGTGGGAAAAACACTGCAGAAATAGGGTGGCAGGAAAGAGAGAAAGAGAGAGTTTATGGTGTATCTCTAAAACTATACAGAAGAGAAAACACATCTTTCGTGGTAGGTGCTCTTGTCCCAGCATTGGGAAACTTTCCCGGATTGTTGGAATGATAGGAAAGAAACTGTGCTGCTACTCCAGCTGCAACTTTTTTTTTTTAAGTGAATATACAATTTATTTAACATTCAAACTTCTTTATTAAGACAGGGTTTCACCATGTTGGTCAGGCTGGTCTTGAACTCCCAACCTCAGGTGATCCGCCCACCTTGGCCTCCAAAGTGCTTGGATTAGAGGCGTGAGCCACCTTGCCCAGCATCCAGCTGCAACTTTACCCTCTGGTATCAATAGGCCCTTTTGAAGTCAGAAACTCCTTGGGGAATACCAAGCTTGGCACAATTACAAAGCCCCCTTGATCTGGGAGTCAGAATCATATAGCAGCCTGATCTTTTCTCCTCAAGAAGCCACTCTCAAGACACAGTCTGTGGTAGAAAAAGGCTTTCGAAACTAAATTACATGTACATTTTACTTTGTTAGGGCAAGAACTATCTTTTTGATTAACCTTCAGTCACGGAATATTCTGAAATACATATATGGTCTTCCAATTCCTGGCATATAACTTTTAAAATTCTTGGACTCTCAAAAGTGATAAATATATTTTTATATGCTAATTAGTTGACTGATGACTGGCAACTCTTATGTGCTTTAGGATGGGGGATAGTCACCCCAAAGACCAAGGCCAGATTAGAAAATTGGGACTTTCAGGCCCACCCTCCAATCTTCCGGAAGGGTAAGGAGAAAGACGCTTTAGAAATAAACTACAGTAGCTCTATTAATTCTTTCAATCAGTTTAGCTATTCGTTTGTGAAATTTCATTTTGTGCAGGGAGGTAACACCTGCACTTCTGTCACCTGCTAGCAGTCTCACAAATATGTATTATTGGTCAGAAATGGAATTAGAAACTTCTATCATGAGCAGGTGGAGGAACTAAAAACAGAAGGCCATTTGTATTATATCATCCAGAATATAAAGCATTGTTTAATAAATTCAGACTGTTTTCTAAATGATACTCTGGTATCCTCAATGTTGTTGCAGTCCCTTAACAAAGCTTACTTAATAAATAATACTCCTGTGGCTTGAGAAAACAGTATAGGAGTAACAAATATGGAATTTATGTCCCAGAACATGGATAACTTAGGCTTAAAATTATAATTTGTCATAAATGTATACTACAAATGTAATATAAAATGACAATTTTTCCAAATACCTAGTTGTTCTAGTCATGTTTGTTGACCTATCAATTTCCCCATTGAACTTCCCTAGCACCTTTGTAAAAAATCAGTTTACATATATGTGGGTCTATTTCTGGATTCCATTGAACTACTTGCAACAGTATCACACCATTTTGATGACTGTAGCCTTTTGGTAATTTTTTTTTTTTTTTTTTTGAGATCAGGATCTTGCTCTGTCACCCAGGCTGATGTGCAAGTGGTGTGATCAGGGCTCACTTCTGGGCTCAAGAAATCCTCCCACCTTAGCTTCCTGAGTATCTGGGACCACAGGAGTGTGCCACTATGTCTGGCTAATTTTTTATCTTTTGTAGAGACAGGGTCTCACTACGTTGCCCACACTGGTCTTGAACTCCTGGGCTCAAGCAGTCCTCCTGTCTCAGATTCCCAAAGTGCTTTTAATAATTTTTGAAATCAAGTGTTGAAGTCTCCCAACTTTGGCCTTCTCAAGATTATTTCAGCTATTCTAGATTCTTTGCAACTTCATATAAGCTTTACATTAAACTTGCTCCTTTCTATTTAAATAATTCTGCTAGGATTTTGACTGGGATGGCTTTGGCTCTATGAGCCAATATTGAGAGTTGACATCTTAATAAGATGGATGCTTCCAATCCATGAATATAGTTTACCACTCCATTTATTTAGGTCTTTAATTTCTCACTGTAATTTTTAATATTCTTCTGTGTATAGGTTTTGCATGTTGTTTATTAAATTTTTTACTCCTAGGTATTTTATATTTTGATCCTTTTGTAAATGGTACTATTTTAAAATTGCATATATAATACAGCAGCATAAAGTATATCTTGATGAATGGAAATAACTTATAAAGTATGTATACTCTGAAATTATTAGATTATCTAAATATGTAAATCAAGTCAAAATGATGAGAGTGTTATCCAAATCTTCTATAACCTTATTGATATTTTGTCTTCTTATCCCCTCACATACTGAGAGAGAAGCATTAAAATCTCCAAAATAGATCTCTTTCTCTATTTCTCTTCTATCAATATTTGCTTTCATACATCTTGAAGCTCTGTTACAAGGTACACATGCACTTAGAATTGTTATGTCTTGAGAGGTTGGAGTAAAAAAAAAAAGAATTGTTATGTCTTCTTGGCTGGGTGCAGTGGCTCATACCTGTAATCTCAGCACTTTGGGAGGCTGAAGCAGGTGGGTTGAGCCCAGGAGTTTAAGACTAGCCTGGGAAACCTAGTGAGACCCCCATATGCAGAAAAAAAGTTAAAAATTAGCCAGGCATTGTGGTGCAAGCCTGTAGTCCCAGCTACTTGGGAGGCTGAGGTGGGAGGATAGCTTGAGCCTGGGAGATGGAGTTTGCAGTGAGCTGAGATCCCACCACTGTACTTTGCCTAGGCAACAGAGAGAGACCCTGTCAGTCAATAAATAAATAAAATTACTATATCTTCATGCTCAATTGACCTTTTATCATCGCAGAATGGTCTTCTTTATCTTTGGAAATACTCCTTGTCTTTAAATCTGCTTTGACTGATATATAGGGATATGATCAGATAGAAATGTGGGTTGCATCCCATTTGTGTCTAATGAAACTTTCCTTTCTTGGAGCTATATTTAGGGTGGTTCTGAATCTTGTGAGGACTGATTTGCACCTCTTTGGAGATGCCTCATACGTCCTTGATTAAGTCATAATCTTGGATAAGGTATTTTGGTTTCGGTGAGTCTCTTGGAAGATATCTTTGGTAAAAAGTTCAAAAGCCAGGAATATTGGCTGTTAATCTGATAGTAAGAGATTTGAAAAGACTTTTAAAATAATCTTTATGGTCAGAAATCAGCTTAATTAAAAGCTGATATTCAGACTATAATGTTGTTGTTGTTGTTTTTTTGAAAAAACAAAATTGGCCAGGTGCAGTGGCTCACACCTATAATCCCAGCACTTTGGGAAGCTGAGTCGGGAGGATCACTTGAGGCCAGTAGTTCAAGACCAGCCCAGGCAACATAATGAGAGCTTCCATTTCCACAACAAAATAAAAAAGCCCAGTGTTGTGACGTGTACCTGTGGTCCCAGCTACTTGAGAGGCTGAGGTGGGGGGATCACTTAAGCCTGGAAG